TACGTATCACTCTTTCTTATATTTGTGAATAAGTAATGTTGTTGTGAAGAGTTGAAATAAAATAAAATAAAGTAAAATATTACCATGATAGGATGTTGTGGGAGCTGTGAAAAACACAAAGATGATGAAACGAAATTACTTATCCCTGTTTCTAACACTTGTGAATGAGAAATTTTGTTCTGAAGTGTTGTAATAAAATAAAACAAAATAAAATAAAATAACAAAATAAAATAAAAATATTAAATAGTTCTGCAATGTTTTAATAAAATAAAATATTAAATTGTTTATCTGTGCAAAATTACTTATTCCTCTTTCTTACACTTGTGAATGAGTAATGCTGTTCTCAAGCATTAAAATTAAATAAATAAAATAAAAACATTAATTCTGAAGTGTTATAAAAATATAAAAAAATACACTAAAATATGCAACAAAGATAAAAAATATATTTAAAAAAATATATAAAATATAAAAAAATAAAGATAGTCTGTGTGTACAAAACGTACCATCACAATAGGGTGTTTTGGGTGGTTACTGGGACATAGTTATGCCTTCTCTAAGGTCTAGAGTGATTCCTGGGACATTGTAAGGTGGTTGCTAAAATGTTCTAGGAGGTTAGGGTGTTACTTACTAGTTCAAGTCAAAACAGCAAGTCCCCTCAGGTCTCTATGATACTCTGATCTCTTCTTCAGTGTGCTTCTATATGATTGACAATCATTCATGTCTATAGCACAAACAATGCAAGACAAGTTATTACACCAAAGTTTAATACTTTAATACTTTTAACCTTCTCTAAAGATTCATTAGAGAAATAATTGATCTTCTCTGAAATGAAACATTCATTTAAAAGATGAAGATATAATTAAATCAAAGTGTTAATTGTTCAAGCTTTCACGCTGGGCATCAATTTAACTTCCGCTTTTATTCGAGAAAATTCATCTAACATTTGATTTTGATGTCTGTTTTTCCTCAATTTCCAAAGTTTCAGGACAACATTAATTGATTTTGAAGGCAGACACAGGAATCTAATTTGAGCGCTGGCAAAGATACACAATCAAGTATGACAAACGCATAAGAAAAAGAAAGGAATTAGTCATTACGCACACACATGACAGAACTGATGAGACCGTTACAAAAGATGCAAACTGTAATTGCTGTTGTTGGTTTATGAGTCTCATATTTGGGGTGAGGTCCTCACCTGCACTCTTGGTCCTGCTTGTTACCCATGATGCCTACAAACGAAAAAAAAGAGGTCTAGGTTTCATTTTACTCGAGTGAAATAACTGAGCCCAAATTAGATGTGTCAAATGAAGAGATATGCGAACGCTTTCTCACAGTGGTGGTCTCTAAAAGCTTTGGCACTGGATGAAAATCACAAACATTTCCCCAGAACAAATGTGACATCCTTAACAGTTACCCTGTGATGTTTTAACTAGGGAGCCATGGAGACTTCCAGCGGATGAGAAGTCTTGCACATTTGAAACAGATGGTGGCTATGCTTTTACACTCATTAGAGGCATCCGCATAAACTGAACCAAAACACCGTGGTAAAACACAAAACTACTGCAGCGTTTCAAACGTATGTGGAAGTAAACCTTGAATATTTCCCCTCAGACACCTGTTGAATCAACTCTGAACATGTTTTAATTCTCCTAACGAGTGAAGATTTTCTGGCAGGCTTTGAAATAGAAACTCCTACTCATCAATTAAAGTGTTTAGCATTAAATGAATTGTAGCGGTAGCTTGCAAAGAGCTAGCAGCTGCTGTCTTATCCTCCTGTAATACATCAATATGTCGGTTTAAGCCCTCTATGTACTTTTAAACAACATGTTGCATTCCTCATCGTGCTTATCTCGCTCCATAGAAAAACGGGTTCGTCTCTCTAACTGTAAACACTAGGCTAAACACCTTTCCCGCACTCGGCCCTGACAAGATTAGAGTTTCAAAAGACTTCCTCAGTCGAAGGCACTTCGCTGACCAACACGAATCGCTCGAGCGGAAATGTACGAGATTACATGTTGATTCGCTAATTGCCGGCTGGCTTAATGCATCAAGGAAGAAGCCTTTAATTGGTCCCTTTGTGGAAGCAGCAGTTCTGATTATGATGTCGCGATCAAGAGGGAATGTTTTGGGAAAACTTTCCCGCCGCTGTTAAGTAATTGATAACCAAAGGCTTCCATGGCACAAATCTCAGCACAGCTGATCCAGCGAAATCCTAAGCAGGAACGCTGATTCATTGCATGCTACACCAAAATGCAATCTTATCTCTGGCTAAAATGTGCGTCTGTGCTGTCTGGGTGTTTATTTTTTTCCAGAGCATCAGATTTTTTTTTTCAAGGTTTTCATTCATAGGTGTAATGATGTATGAACACCCGGGGGCAGTGTTCACTTCAGAAAAATCTGAGCTGGGAGACCAGTGGAGACAGACAGAACTGAGGTGGATCTTCTCAACCAATGTGGAAATATGCCAAGAACACAGAGATCTTCACTGCACTGCGGTGCATGTGTTATAAAAACAGCCCTGGAGTCATCCCATGTGAACGTAATCACAACTACTTCCTGTTTCTCCTGTCTCTCTTACTAAATTGGAGGTGGCACTTCATATTTTCATTCAGCACAATACCAGCACTTCTCCAGTTAGCTCAGTCGACACTTAGATAAATATTACATGAAGAACAGTAATAGCTGACACAGCCATTGAAATTTAATAGGTTACTTATTATGGACAAGATCCTTGAATGATGTCTCTGTTCTGGTCCTTCAGCTAAACATATCCTTATTCAGGATGTTCATGGTTTTATAATATCAAAACTTGTCATAATTGGTTCTAAAAACCTATAAATATGAACTTTTCTCATTTCACGTCACACGTAGAGTGCACTGTTAAAATTTTTAGTGTGAAATCAGTATATTCCAGGTTAATAATTGCATTACTTTCACAGTAATTTCACAGTGGGACTTCTCTTGTATCTAACTGCACTCTCAGAAATGTCTCGTAAGCAAACTGCATCATGCTGTAGAGTTAATTCTTGTTGGTTTTATTTGTGCTATTGAACTTATTTTTGACTCTCAGAAATTCCTTGTAAACAAACAGCAATACTGTGTTTTTACTGTGCATTTGGACTATGAAGGCACCAAGCATGCAATGCAGCATGAATAGATCACGCTGTAGAGTTTTTTTTTTAATTTCTTGTTGGTTTTATTTGTGCTATTGAACTTGTCTTTGGTTCACTTTTATCAATTTGTGTTGTTTGTTTATTTTGTAATGTTGGTTTATGTTGTAAATGTTGTTTTTAATTGTCGAGTGTTTTGTATGTCGAGTACTGATGTCACATCTTTCAAAGACGTTTCTCAGCAGTTGCGTCACTATTGTGAAAAGATCCATCCACAAACAGTTATGAATATGAAATAAGTTATTGATTAATCTTCATACTTATATAATGCTAAAATAAAATCTTCATGTTCATTCTAATTATTTCATATTCTAGCTTGTCATCATTTTGACATTTTTTTTTTTTTTAATTTGTCCCACTTCTGACATAACTAGATCAGAAATCTGAATATGAATATTCAAGGTCCAAGATCCCAAACAAATACTAATCTCGAATTACCATTATGGTGACTTCAAAACAATTACAGTAGTAAACAACTACATTTCTCACAGTGGCACAGTTAAAGACAACTTGCATGCATTGCTTTCACAGTAAATTTCTGTCTACAGTAATTTATTGTTAAATAATACTCTTTAATCCCGTAAATTCCTGGCAGTTTTTTACAGTGTGATTTTACCACTGGTAAGGGATGTTTATAGGGGCCTATAAATCACTATAACACATGGCAAATGGCTTACTGCATTAAGGCAGCAACAGTAAAATAGAGTTCAATAAATAGTTATAATAAAAAAATAAATAAAACGTCATAATGATTATATATGGTCAATAATAAAATTATATTTTGATGTGTACAATAATAAGAATTATTATTATAAAATAAATACGATTAATTGTTCTTAATATAATACAATTATATTTATAATAATAATAACAAGATTATTATTATAAACATTTTTCTTAATTAAAATGGTTATAATTATAATATGTTAACATAAATAACAATAATACATATTTACAAGGTTAAAAATTATTATTAAATATAAATATAATTTATTTGTAAATTGTTTGTAATAAAAATAATAATGATGATGATGACAATGTTTATTATTATCATAAAAATATAAATGACTAATTGTCTCTAATATAATAATAAAATAGCAATATAATAATAATAATACACATAAAATATATATTTTATTGGATTATATCAAAAACAATAAATTATTTTATTTAATTTTTTTGCCAAGTAATTAATTAATCTGTTGTACACAAGCAATGTAACGGCTTCCATATACCATGGATAATTACTAAGTGGACTGCACATTCAGTATTAATTGTGCATTTTCAATTTGCCATTTAATATAGTTGAATTTGTGAAATTGTAGCTTAACGCAGTTACACTACATCTATGAATATATTTGTGCTGCACTGATTATTAAGACCATTATTTTGTTAAGATGCACTCTGGTACATTTCAAAGAGAAATATGATGAGCTTTGAAACTGAATGCGATCAAGTGGGAGCAAAAGTCTGAATTACTGTATGTTTCAGTAAAGCAGCTCTGTATCAAGCCCACTTCAGCAGAACTTTCCACCGGATCAATAACTCCAGCAGTCAGGAATATAAGAAACGTCAATAGTTAAAAGTTCGCAGGGCAAAAGAGCATCTCTGCCCCAAATCAGCCAGGCACCCCCATTAAAGAGATCAGAGAGATGTGTGTCTCTATCCCTCTGTAGGACCTGTGTCACCTTGAAGAGCTCTTACCGATGCCAGGGTAATTACTTAGAGAACATGCGTGTAAAGGAGAAAGAGCTATTAATATGAAGCACGTTCCCCCCGCACCCCTCGCTAAACCTTCAAAGAGCAGTTCAGTCAGCGGGGCTCTAGTCTCTGAACGTTTGGGATGTTTATTTATTTTCTAAATAATTTTGCGGTGAATCATTGCAAAATGGCTACAGCTGTAATCACTAGATAAGTAGGAACCAACATGGCAGGTGTTTGGGCAGAGATAAGCAGGAACCATTGTGAGGAAAGACGATGCTTCCAGGAGGGAATGTTTTGGGGCTCGGATTCCTGTTTGATTTGTTACCTACAGCCCTCCTCGAGGGTAGGGAGAAGATAGGGCGAGCGTCTCCTTAATATATTTTCCGCAAAGTGTGTTTATACATCCTCCAGACGTATTCAGAGAAAGGCACTTTTTTTTTTTAACCCGACTGCCACGCTTGTCTTCTTGTGTCAAAGTGATGAACTGTAGGGGGTCTGTAAAACTGTACACCACTGTAAAATATCTGTTTTTGTCATTGTCTAGTTAAACTCGTAGTCAAAAATGAAAATAGTTGAAATAAAATGTACATTAATTTTATTTTTTAATCTAAAAATGCTATAGTTAAAAAATAATATAAAAGCACAATATATACAAATATAAAATATTTAACAAAAATGTTCAACTTTTAAAGGGGTCATAGGATGCCCATTTTCCACAAGTTGATGATTCTTTAGGGTCTTAATGAAAAGTCTGTAACATAGTTTACTTGATTAACTGAAACTTTAGGATAATATGAATACAATTAAGACAAAAAATTAAACCAATATTTCTTACACACTGTGTAACATACATTACCCCTACAAACAAGGTCAGTTTGTTGACTTTGAACTTTAAATTCTCTAAAACTAAGTTGATACAAGGCTGCAGTTATTGCGCCTGAAACTTGTGCCTTTTATTTAGTTTTGACTTTGAAAATAAGAACACAAGCCAGACAGCATCTTGAAAACACTAGTGCTGGACTGTGCACTGGAGCAGACAGCGATGGCTGGATCTTTAATCTGCTGTAGAGCTATATGTGATGTTTCTCTTCATCTGTTTGCCTTTACAGGGAGTCACAGAGGGATTCCTGCAGCACTAACCCCAAAAAGTCAACTTTACTGAGAGTTACACCACTGATGAAGGCTGGAGCGGCGTCTATAAAAGCAGCAATAAATACTTTATAGTTAATAATCTCGTTCGCTCTCATTCTCCTTGGGATACAAGAAGCAACATAGATAACATAGAAGTGTTTTTTTTAAGCTTAAACTATATACATCGAGAATGCAAACTCATCATGGGTGAAAAAGGTGACAAAGATGCGCACTTGTTGGTACTAATGGTAATGTAAAAAGGAACCAATTAAACAACAACAACAGAAAAAAAGTTTTTTAAAAAATCACCGGAAGTACACAAATGACCCATCTTGAATTCAAAACGGCGAATGGATTTGAATATTTATCAATTTATTTAAAAATAATAATTATAAAATTATTCATTCATAATAATATAATTGAATGAATTAATATTAATTTAAAAAATAAATGAAGTTGTATAATTCTTGTAGGTAAATACACTCTGAAAGAAATCACCCATTTACATTATAATTTAGATTAAATATACATTTATATTCAAACATATAATTAATATAATTTATAATTAAATTTACTTAAATAATGGGATCTTTCACACAACATTTAAACTCAGTTCTGTTGTCATATACTCATTCATTCATTCACTCATTCCTGGAAGATAAAATGAGTTACAGTATTATAAAAATAATAAAGTATTTTTTTCCATACAGCAGCAACAACAAAAATAAATACACAAAATACTGTTTTCAAAATAAAATGTATATTATTTTTTAGATATTTTTGTATTAATATTTTATGTAATACAAATATTAAATATAGTATATTAAATATTAACAAATTAAATAGTTACTTGAATAACTTTATGATAATCCATTCAATTAATA